GGCTGAGCAGAGTTCGGAGGAACTCTGCACCGAACTCAATATTCACTTCAATAAACCCGCTATACTTTTATATTGTGTCTCTCAGTTTGGCTTCATTGATTGTGGGTCTGAGCTTTAGATAAAATCATGACACTGAATGGAATCCATCATGGATTGGGATGTAGAAATGTAATATGCTTGGATGCAGGCAAGTGTTTTTCTTCTTCAACTGAGCAACAAATTCTAAATTTTTATCAGTTAATGTTGACAAAATTTGAAGTCACCAGTGAATGTTCTTGCTTTGTTCTCTTTCTTTGTCCCAGTTCCCCAGATTTTTGGTATAATCAGCACTGCAAAAACAATCCAGAAATAAGTAAAAAATGGCTTAAATTAAGTATATTTAGCCTTAATTTGAGCAGGTAAATAAGATGATTTGCCAATGGAATGAGTATTTTCACTCTTAAAATAAGATAGTTAGATAATATTTACTTGAAATAAGACGATAAAATAGTTTTTTCTTATTTTAAAAGGAAATTGTCTTGTTCCATTGGCAAAGTGTCTTACTTATCTCCTCAAATCAAGGAAAAACACACTTATTTTAAGAAAAAATAACTTATTGAGATTTATATTTTTTGCAGTGCTAATTTTTTTTATAGTGTCTTTCCTGAGCTTACCCTGCTTGGGCTAGTGATATAAAAGTAAACAATATAAGAAAGATGTGACAAACAGACAACAAAAGGAGTGGAAGAGACACATTAATAAAATTGGATTAGATTTTTGTTTCTTTTTGTTTTATCCCTCTTGATTATTTTTATTTGTTTTTTTTTTTGGCCGGGTTTAGTCACTAGATAAACAATCTAGAAATAATTAAAAATTTCTTAAATTAAGTGTATTTACCCTTGATTTGAGTAGGTAAATGAAATATTTTGCCAATGGAATCAGTATTTTTACTCTTAAAATAAGATAATTAGATAATAGTCACTTGAAAAAAAACAATGCAATTGTGTTTTCTTATTTTAAATCTAAATTGTCTTGTTCCATTGGCAGAATGTCTCTTTTATCCCGTCAATTCAAGAACAAATGCACTTATTTTAAGAAAAAATGACTTGTCAAGACTTAGATTTTTTGCAGTGGTCATATTTGGCCACCAGGGGGACTGCTATAAAAAGATGTGAAGCGCTGTGAAGGCCTATTTCAATTCAAATGTTATTTTTCTTCTGAATAAAAAGCTTTAACATATTCAAAAACTCACCAAAAGTTACAGAAAACTGTCCCCAGTGTGAACATTTATGTGGGCAGCGGTGAGTGGCTTCTGCAGTCGTGATCGACCAAGTGCCGCTGAGCTGTGAGGGTCATCCAACGGCCATGGTGGCTTTAATTTATAGTAATTTCTTATGAAAACATGATGACTTTTCAAGAACAAAAAGTGAAATTAAAACTTCCAACTGGTTCCCTGGCTATACCTTTAAGTGGGTTGAAGTAAATACCTTAAAGAAACCAAAAAAAAACCTTATCACCAACTTACTTCCTTACTGAAGGATGTACTTTCTTTTTCCCTTTACTGTAATTTAATAGGCAAACTCTGGCTGAATTGGTTATACAGCAAAGCATTAAACAGAAACAATACCGACATATCAAGGTGCTCAACTTAAGACATCGCTGGCATCATAGAATAAATCTTTTATGCACATATGAAAAATTTGGCCCATTACTAAAGGTCGGCTTTGTTGCATAACTCAGCTATCAAATGAGGCTTGTCACTTAGGACAGTTGTGAATGCAACAGCAACAGAGCCGTCTTTAACTTAAGCTAAAACAATTGTTCAAATACAAAATAAAAAGCAGATTAAATCTTACATAGACTAATTTACCCAAAGTCTTCATGTGGTTGCTGTCATGCACCTCCAGAATTTAGTAAGTCTGGTTTATCCAGCTGCTTTACGTTTCATATCATTATAGGCCATCAGGTCTGCCATACTGTCTCTGATCCTTCAGATATCGTTCACTGTAATCTAGGTTTTTAAAGCAAAATATGAAAAGTATATAACTACAGATTAAACAGCACTCTTCAGCATCTTATCTAGGCGACTAATGTAGCTACACTGGAAAAAAGATCTAGAGATAAGTAAAAATGTCTTAAATTAACTGTATTTACCCTTAATTTGAGCAGGCAAATTAGATAGTTTGCCAATGGAATCAGTATTTTTCATCTTAAAATAAGATAATTAGATAATATGCGCTTGAAATAAGACAATGCAATTATGTTTTCTTATTTTAAGTGTAAATTGTCTTGTTCCATTGGCAAAATGTCTGCCTCCTCAATCCAAGAAAAATTCACTTATTTTAAGAAAAAAAAAAAATTATGTAGATTTAGATTTTTTTCCAGTGTAGCATTAAATAAAAATGCATTTTCTATGTATTCACAAGGATATATATCTTTGCTTTAACTACGAATTTAAACAGGCTTCACACAAATTTAAATCAATTATGTGCCTTAATAGAGGTGCAAGGCCTACACTGCAAAAACGATCTAGAAATAAGTACAAATTTCTTGAATTAAGTGTATTCACCCTTAATTTGAGCAGGTAAATGAGATAGTTTGCCTATGGAATGTGTAATTTTACTCTTAAAATAAGATAATTAGATAATATGCACTTGAAATAAGACGATGCAACTGTGTTTTCATATTTTAAGTGATAATTGTCTTGTTCCATTGGCAAAATGTCTCTTTTACCTCCTCAATTCAAGAACAAATGCACTTATTTTAAGAAAAAATGACTTATCTAGATTTAGATTTTTTGCAGTGTGATGGATGAAAATGAAAAATTCCTCGTACCAAATTCATCCTTCCTGTTAACTACTGAAAACTTTGCTCTTTCTTTTTTACCTGCAGGCTGAAATATTTGCAGACATGTCTCTACATACTCTACTATACTTTTTAAATGCCTCCTCATTTACTCAGCAATAACTTCCACACCATAATAGGACACACCCACCTGGGTCTTGACAAGTCCACATACAGGTGCTGGTCATAAAATTACACTGCAAAAACAATCCAGAAATAAGTAAAAAATGGCTTAAATTAAGTATATTTAGCCTTAATTTGAGCAGGTAAATAAGATGATTTGCCAATGGAATGAGTATTTTCACTCTTAAAATAAGATAGTTAGATAATATTTACTTGAAATAAGACGATAAAATAGTTTTTTCTTATTTTAAAAGGAAATTGTCTTGTTCCATTGGCAAAGTGTCTTACTTACCTCCTCAAATCAAGGAAAAACACACTTATTTTAAGAAAAAATAACTTATTGAGATTTATATTTTTTGCAGTGTAGAATATCATGAAAAAATAGATTGATTTCAGTAATTCCATTTAAAAAGTGAAACTTGTATATTATATTCATACATTACATACAAACTCATATATTTCAGATGTTTATTTTGTTTAATTTTGATGATTACAAATGACAACAAATGAAAATCTCAAATTCATCATATCAGAAAATTAGAATATTACTGAAGACCAATAAAAACAAAGGATTTATAGAAATGTTGGCCAACTGAAAAGTATGAACATGAAAAGTATGAGCATGTACAGCACTCAGTATTTAGTTGGGCCTCCTTTGGCCTGTATTACTGCAGCAATGCGGCGTGGCATGGAGTCGATCAGTCTGTGGCACTGCTCAGGTGTTATGATAGCCCAGGTTGCTCTAATAGTGGCTTTTAGCTCTTTTGAATTGTTGGGTCTGGTGTATTGCATCTTCTTCTTCACAATACCCCATAGATTTTCTATGGGGTTAAGGTCAGGAGAGTTTGCTGGCCAATTAAGAACAGGGATACCATTTTCCTTCAACCAGGTACTGGTAGCTTTGGCACTGTGTGCAGGTGCCAAGTCCTGTTGGAAAATGAAATCTGCATCTCCAAAAAGTTGGTCAGCTGCAGGAAGCATGAAGTGCTCTAAAACTTCCTGGTATGTGGCTGCGTTGACCCTGGACCTCAGAAAACACAATGGACCAACACCAGCAGATGACATGGCACCCCAAACCATCACTGACTGTGGAAACTTTACACTGGACTTCAAGCAACGTGGATGAAGTGCCTCTCTTCTTTCCCTCCAGACTCTGGGACCTTGATTTCCAAAGGAAATGCAAAATTTACTTTCATCAGAGAACATGACTTTGGACCACTCACCAGCAGTCCAGTCCTGTTTCTCTTTAGCCCAGGCAAGACGCTTCTGACGCTGTCTGTGGTTCAAGAGTGGCTTGACACAAGGAATGCGACAGCAGAAACCCATGTCTTTCATACGTCTGTGTGTGGTGGTTCTTGAAGCACTCACTCCAGCTGCAGTCCACTCTTTGTGAATCTCCCCCACATTTTTGAATGGGTTTTGTTTCACAATCCTCTCCAGGGTGCGGTTATCTCTCTTGCTTGTACACTTTTTTCGACCACATCTTTTCCTTCCCTTCGCCTCTCTATTAATGTGCTTGGACACTGAGCTCTGTGAACAGCCAGCCTCTTTAGCGATGACCTTTTGTGTCTTGCCCTCCTTGTGCAAGGTGTCGATGGTCGTCTTTTGGACAACTGTCAAGTCAGCAGTCTTCCCCATGATTGTGTAGCCTATAGAACTAGACTGAAAGACCATTTAAAGGCTTTTGCAGGTGGTTTGAGTTAATTAGCTGATTAGAGTGTGGCACCAGGGGCCATCAATTTTGAACCTTTTCACAATATTCTAATTTTCTGATATGATGAATTTGAGATTTTCATTTGTTGTCATTTGTAATCATCAAAATTAAACAAAATAAACATCTGAAATATATGAGTTTGTATGTAATGTATGAATATAATATACAAGTTTCACTTTTTAAATGGAATTACTGAAATCAATCTACTTTTTCATGATATTCTAATTTTATGACCAGCACCTGTATCTGTTCAGGAGTGACCAGAGGTGTCAACAGTTGTGTAATTGCTCAGTGGGCCTATAAATAGGGCTACAGGTAGTCACTGCCTTGTTATCACTTTGAGAAACCTCTCGAAGCAAAAGGGTAAGACAATTATTATTTTCTCTGCTCCTAATGGCTTTTTCTTTCACTTCTCTTTTGAGTTCACTCTCATAGCTGAGGATGTTTGTGCAATTGCATCACTTATGATTGACGCCGAGTGACGTTTTTTAAGCAGAAAGGTGCATTAAAAAAAACAGGATACTGTCTGCGTTAATAAATGAGGAGCACAGGATGGTACCAAATAAATGGTTATTTCTAACCTGACTCCGCCAGATGGATTTGCTCCGCATATCCATCTGGAAACCTTCCGTTGAAGTAATTTTGGGAAGGGGCGAAAATACTGGTTAGCTGATTGGCCTATGTTGGTGATAGACGGCCAAATAAACCAATCAGATCAACGAAGCATATGACGTACTAACAGAGCGACGACGAAGAGGAGCCAATTGATAGATCAAACTCTTGCCGAAACCAGTCGGGAGAAGAGCAAAAACACCTTTTCCTCTGAGAAAAGCCTCCAGAGCAGTGTTTTGCTCTTCTTTCAGTGAAGAAATACTCTGTAATTCCCATAAAACTTGCTCGATAGCTACGCTAACGCTAGTTTCATTGACTGAAGCCGCCATGTTCTTTAGACTGAACTGTCGCGCTTCTCGTTGCGTCACACCTCAACCCGCCTCAAAGCCAACGCTGATTGGACGTTTGTTTGGTGAACGGCTCCAAATTTTCTTCAACGGAGAGTCTCCAGACTGATCTGCGAGTGAAATCTTGAAAGCTCGCGAGATCAGGATGGTCTCACGAGGCTAGGTTATTTCACCATCAGGGCTATAACTTAATACCTGATTATATTTTTGGGGAGCATTAAGCAGATTGTCTTAATTTTAAAGCTAAAGTTTCAAAACTCCAAAAAAACAAATGGACAGTAAAATTACTATTTGATGTGCACTGTTCAAAAACAGGCTGTTAATATTAAAGATAGATAAATATTGTGTTTTATTAACAATTTTGGTAACAACATACACAGCTTTTATTTCCTATTTCTGAGAAGTTCTTTTTGACTCTTAAAACTCCTATATGGGCTATCAAAATAAAGAATAGAAAATAAGAGGCTCTATTTTTAATCGCATTTCAGATGTAGTTGTTTTGGAAAAATTATTGGGTAATTGAAACCAACTCAACCAAATATGGCACCCAGCCTGAACTAAATTCCTGCTCCTTGTGAAATTATACATTTCCCATTGCCTAGCAGTCATTTGGAGATTAGATTGGATTATTTTTATTGCTTGTGGTCTAGTTGATGAGCACCAATGAGCTGTAGATAAAAAAACACCTGCAACAGATGTGAAATCATGTGAATCAATATGAAATCAGATTTAATGTAGATGTTGTTGCACTGGTAACCTGTTTTATAGAGCTGTAGTGCGTTCACATGAAAACACACTAGAAAAACGAGCTAGAAATAAGTAAAAATGTCTTAAATGAAGTGTATTTACCCTTAATTTTAATAAGGTAAACAAGATGCCAATGGAATGAGTATTTTTACCCTGATAAATAAGATAATTAGATAATATGCACTTGAAATTAAACAACTAAGTTTACTATTATAAACAACGCAAAGTGTAAATTGCCCTGTTCCATTGGCAAGATGTCTCTTTTACTACCTTAATCCAAGAGCAAATGCACTTATTTTAAAGCTGAAGTCTGTAAGTTTTTAAAAATCACTTTTTTGTCATATTGGCTAAAACTGTCCCTATGCCCAGACAGCAGTACATGTGATATGTAACCTGTGAAAAAAACTGCTTCAATTGGTCCCGCATACTGCCTGTATTTCAATCTGGAAAGAATAATTCGGGACGAGTCAAAACAACCAATCACAGCCAGAGGAGCGTCTGATAGAGTGTCAATCACAGCTCACACACGCTGAATCCCGCCCCCCCCCCTTCTGGTCGCATGCAGTAGCCGTGCAGATGCTGTGAGAGGGGTGGAGCTTGGAGGTGGGGCATGAGTGAAGCAGAGAGGGTGGGGGAGTGGAGTGAAACCTGTTTTTCTTCAAATTTTCAGTCGAAGTCTGCTCTCTCCTCAATGTTACAGACTGCAGCTTTAAGGAAAAAATGACTCGTCTAGATTTTGAGTTTTTCCAGTGCATAAGTTCACTCCTTTTATAAACTTACTCTTTCCCTTTGTTTTTGTTTTTTCAACAGACATATATTCTGTCAACATAAATAGGCATCATGGAGCGAGGTGAGAATAAGGACCTGGATGATAAGCAGCAGACAAGGACAACTCAACCAAAGAAACGTGAAGACAAAAAGGGCAGCAACCAAGAGGAAAAGGCCGACCGCTGTCTGGATTGCTGTTTGGGCACCGTTGAGTGTCTGGAAGAAAGTCCAGAATGTAGCTCGGCTTCATGCTGCGATGCGGATATCTGCTGTGATATATGTGTAATCATGTGAATGAGCGTGTGGACATGTAAGTCTGAACTGTAGAAATCTGAGCAATATTTTCCTCTTATGTGTCACTGAAGATTAAAAAAAAGAATCCTAAAAGCTTTGTTACCTGATTCAAATTAAAAAGAAATTCCTTCTTTGCAAAGTTTTAAACAAATGAAAAGTTTTGTAACGCTCCAATTTGATCTTTTCCATTTTCTTACAGACTAAACTTTCAGGAAGCATAATCTCAAATATTAACCTTTAAAAGTAAAACTATACTTTATTAACCCTAATTTGTATTTTGTTGTTTTATTGTTACAGGATAAACTCTACGGGATCAAGACCTTCAGAACTTTCATTTAAATTTAATTCAATTTAAATTAAAAAGGATCTTTCATTCTTCTCTTTAGAAAACTGTCTGATCTGTAAAACACATTAGTTTAAATATGTTTTACTCTTAACTTCAGCAGGGATTTAAATAAGAAATACTTGCAGAATTCTTAATAAAATTGCTTCTTAATTTGATTTTGAGCTAAATTTGCATCCTTTTATCAAACCATGTGGACATGCTAGATATTTGTTATGTTGTAACTCCCCTGTATTATTGTCTCTAAACTTTGTTTATGTATGTAATGTGTGTCCGTCTATCTATAAATCCTAATGACAAGGGTTTAATAATTAACATTTATTTAACAAACAATAAATGTTCATATGTTTGAAGAAAATTTTCTTTGTTATTTTTTCCCAAAACCTGGGTCAAATGTCAGATAAAATATAATAGAATAATGTAGAATGTTTTTTCTTGAGCGGCTGCTCAGTGGAGCAGTGGGTAGCACTTCTGCCTTGCAGTTAGAGGGTTCTGGGTTCGATTTCCCCCTCAATGCATGGAGTTTACATGTTCTCCCTGAGCATGCGTGGGTTCTCTCCGGGTACTCCGGCTTCCTCCCACAGTCCAAAATCTTCTCTAAATCCTCCTTAGGTGTGAGGGTGTCTAAATCGTCATTTGTCCTGTTTGTCTCTGTATTGCCCTGTGATGGACTGGTGACCTCTCCAGGGTGGACCCCGCCTCTCACCCATAGATAGCTGGAGATAGGTAACCTGACTCCGCCAGATGGATTTGCTCCGCATATCCATCTGGAAATCTTCCGTTGAAGTAATTTTGGGAAGGGGCAAAAGTACTGGTTAGCTGATTGGTCTATGTTGGTGATAGACGGGCCAAATAAACCAATCAGATCAACGAAGCATATGACGTACTAACGAGCGACAATTAAAACACAACCACAAGCCAGGCTACTCTTGACGAAACCAGTCGGGAGAAGAGCAAAAACATCTCTGAGAAAAGCCTCCAGAGCAGTGTTTTGCTCTTCTTTCAGTGAAGAAATACTCTGTAATTCCGATAAAACTTGCTCGATAGCCACGCTAACGCTAGTTTCATCGGCTGAAGCCCCCATGTTCTTTAGACTGAACTGTTGCGCTTCTCGTTGCGTCACACCTCAACCCGCCTCAAAGCCAACGCTGATTGGACGTTCGTTTGGCGAACGGCTCCAAATTTTCTTTAACGGAAAGTAGCCAGACTGATCTGCGAGTGAAACCTTAAAAGCTCGCGAGATCAGGATGGTCTCACGAGGCTAGGAGATAGGCACCAGATAAGCCTGACAAAACAAGGAAGGATAAATGGATGTGATTTTCTTGAAAAAGGCACAATTTTCATGTACCGTAATATTTTTCATGGATATCAAACAATACGGTTCAATCTTTCTCCTCTTCCAGAAAGCAATACCAGGAGACTCATGTAGACTTAACAGAATTATTTAAGTTGTTGAAAATGTAGAAACCACCATGGAAAATGGAGGGGAACACCCGAAGAGAGTACTAGTCAGTAATCTTGGAAGTGAGGCTGAATGAAAGTTTTTCAAAGGTTTGCTCACATGACTCTGAAGTGCATGGTCAGAGGGGGAGGTTTTTGGTTGTACCAGTCCTGAACCCCTATGGTGCGTTCACAGCGAACACAATCTGGGCAACAAAAAACATTAAAAGTGGTAACCTGGACGTTGGGCAGCTATATCTGCTGTGATCAGTGGGTTAAAAGTAGTTTTAATATGTTTTTAAGTGAGAAAGTCCACCTGAAAATTTAATCTGTGCAGTCAATTCATCCAGATTACCATCCTGCCTTCAAATATTATTTCTCCGTTGGAGCCACTCTGACCTCCACATACTGACGGTGCGCTGTCACTGGGAACCTTAATTAGTTAATAATTCAATCACATCATCATTTTATCTAATAACTTTGCAAATACTAACCACTACTGAAAATAAGGAAATGTAAAGGGAAATAAAAATGGGGAAAATGGTTTCGGGAGTTTGTTCAAGAGTCTCTAAGAATATTAAGGTTTAAGGCTCAGTACATTAATGGTGTCTTTTTAAATAGCAGCAGATAAATGTTATAACTCTGACGCAGAGATATTGAATGCAATCCAAACAGCAAAATTTTACAGTAAGAAATGTACGATGACTCAGGAATGCATTAAATATAGTGACGCTGGTAAGGATGGGTTAGTTCATCTGGCATAACCGGTTTTGAGGCAGCCAGCTAGAACAGCAGGGTTAGAAAACTCATAAAAAAGGGACGGCTATGAGGTAGCTTGGAACTAACAATGCTAGCCAGTCTAACCATAGTAGCCTAACTCTTCAAAGAATCACACAACTTGGATCTTTCAGTCAGGCTCAGCAAGCATTTGTATTCAGTTCACAACCTTTACTTAACCCTTATCAGGACTTGAATCAGAAAGCTTCTTTCAGATAAAATACAAAAAACACATGTAAAAATATCTCTTCTACCTATTTGTCACCCAAGCAGAGTATTTAAAATGAAAAATAGGGGAAAGGAGGTTTATTTGTCGGCTAAGTGGAATGGAGGAGACAAGGTTTTGGTTCATTTTGACTTGGTTTGGTTCAGGAACACATTTGCTTATCCAACAGGCAGCTCTCAGAGAGATTTGGGTTATCCTGATGCAAACAGAGGCAGATCAACAGGGCTTAATTTCATCACTTACAGCAGCTTTAGCAAGGGCGTCCTCTTTAAACTATGGTGGGTAGCTTGTAGCGGCAGCTCAGACAACAGCAGCACAGCTCCAAACAGAAGCTGAAACAGTGGGTCTGTCATGATTTTATCTAGAGCTCGGACCCACATGCAGAGAAACCAATTCAGAGAAACAAGGGGAAAGGTTTAAAAGGTTTATTGAAGAGATAATGCTGAATTAAGAGTTGCTCTGAACACTGCTCATCCGGAACTGAAAAGTGAGGGGAAGACACATTGGTTAGTTCAGGCTCAGTAGGAAATTTGGTTCTTGAACTTCCAGTGTTTGTCTGATTCGGTGGAGGGCAAAACAGGGTTTACCCAGAATACGGTTGTTTGTAGGTGAACGGAGAAGCTGACTGTCACTCAGATTTACTGCGGTACTTGAACGGGTCGTAGTGGAGATTAATCCCTTGCTCAGTGTGAAGCTCAAACGATCTCTGGAGGGGAAGTGGTTTCAAACATCCAGTTTAAATCCCCAGCTCAGTTTTAAGCTCAGATGATCCTTCCAGGGAGAGAAGGTCAGAAACATCCAGTTTGCAGGATGACTTCCTGCCGAGAGGCAAAGACAAAAAAACAAGATTAAGACTAAGGTTGACAAGAACTCAGTTTGACTCAGCAAAACCCAGCTTGGCTAGAGTACCCAAAACTGGCAAACACTCTGGCGTTGAGGTAGTGGCACTCAGCAGCTTAAGAGCGCTCAGTTAACGGGGTAACCCTCTGCAGGTGTGTGGGGAGGCGAACCAGAACCAGGCACCTCCTGGTGGAGGAAGGGAGACAAACACAGAAACACAAACACACCTGACAGGGTCACAGTCCAGCATTTTCACAGTTAAAGGCAGCGGCAGAACCAGTGTGGCACAGGTCAGCTGCTTATAGCAGCTCCTTGGCAAACTGTAATCTAACCCGGCTGTTATGTGGGCAACTTGGGTCGATCAGAACTAGATAGTTTTCTCATCTGCTTCAGTGGGTGGGTTCATAAAACATTGTGTTCAACCTGGTTTGAAACGCAGGAAAAAGAAGATGCTACGTCCAGCTCTTTCTGAATTGTAGGCAGCATGTAGTCTGGCTCAGTCCAGCGAGCACACACTCTTCTCCAGAGGGGATTTGGTGGCTACGTGTGTAGCCACAGCTAAAAAACGTCATATGACTCCCCTTTTGAGGCCCTGAAGCCACAGGCAAGAAAAAGTTGAATGGGGGTCAGCCGCTTCAGAAATCTCTGTCGCAGGGATGTGACGTCAGGGGGAAACGATCTCTTTACATAATTGACATCGGTCTGCAACACAGTCCACAAATCTTGGGGGAGTGTTGGCCTACTGGTTGAAGCAGTGTGCTTGTGCTCTGAGAAGGTTGCAAGTATCAGTTTTTATCCCCATAGCCTCCACTCTAGGTTCCAGAGCAACATGCTTAACCCCCCACTGCTCCCCGGGTGCCGAACGATGGCAGCCCACGGCTCCCCAAGGGTATGGGTTAAATGCGAATTTCCATATTGTGGGACAATAAAGGGATTTACAATTTGCAATAACAGTTATCTAAAGTAACAACAATTAAGTTGTTGTTAGACTAAAATCTTCAAAATTCCGATTCTTCAATTTGAAAACAAGACTTAAAAGTGAAGGGTAGAGTTAAATTCAGTCCATTAATGCCTGCTCTCTGTAAATATTAAACTGATCGCTATTCTTTGTGGTAATAATCTTATTATCGTGGTACAGTGCAATGATTAATTTCAATAATACCATCATTTAAAATGTTAAAACTATCTTAGTTTATATCAAGTCTTTGGAGAGACCAAGGCTTTGTCTTTTCTGTACCTGTAATGTCATTGATGATGAGCAACCATAGAATGCTGACCCGTTCAAATTTATTTTATTTTATTTTTTGTTTTGTACTTTTTTTCTGGAAAAACAAAGTGTAAAATAGGAATATGCAAATAACCATTTCATAACATTATCATTATAGTTGTATCAACTTATAGAGCCTGAGCTTCACAGCCCAAACTTTCAAGTAGTTATCCGTTGCCACATACATTTAAAAGGGTGATTCTATATATTTGGTGCTGGTCCTTCAGGTCTCTGATTAGGGTGTGTAACATTGGTTGGGCTGAAAATGGCATATTTGCTGTCCTATGAGCCCTAATGCAGCCTGGTTAAAAGCCCTAGAATGAAACGACAGGTTTTCTTCCTTTTATGGTGTGATCATGAATATTTAGATGAGCTGTGCTCTGATTGGTTGGTTTACAACGAGTGAGGCTGCTGAGCAAAGACGCATCATAGCAACAAGCACTCACTCACTGAAACATTAAAACTGTGAAAGCTTTGACTAAATGCTTAGAGTAGATGAACAACTGAGCATCAAACTTTGCAGGGATCTTCTGATAGACAAAAACAATTCAATATCTCTGTTTCAGCCTGGGAAACTGCATTTACGCCCGTGGTTCTGGCAAATTTTTAATAGAAAAACGGCCTGCTTTGTAATTCTTGTAGCAGTAAACCCAACTGTAGGCTCAATGGCTAAACTGCTGTCTTCCATCTTCCTCTATTCATGTTCTTGGTCCAGTGAACCAGTGGGTTGGTCTGTATGTCGTCAACCTATGTCGTTTACGTCAACTCGGTGCTTCGTTAGGATTCGCCCGTTTTCTGGTGAAAGTTTTGAATTGTGAGATTTGCATAGAAAGGAGGTGTTGATTGAGTTTGAAATTCTCTGTTTGTCCATTTCACCCACTGAACTATCGTTATTCTTTTTTTTTTTTTTTTTTTTTTTTTTTTTTTTACAGTGTCCTGTCTGGCAATGTGGCAATAAGAATAATTGTCTTGATGCCAAAAAGAGCCCAACAGATTTTACTTTCACAAGTGGAGCAGTACGGCAATTGCCATATCGCTCCACTTGTTTCATGCATATAAATTGCTTTATTATAATAATGCAGGGAGGGAAAAAAAAGAGAAAAGATGAAAGAAAGAAGAGATAGAAAGGAGACAATGACAAAACATTTTCAGTCTGCTTCATCACCTGTAACGACATGAAAAAAGAACAGCACAACCGAAAGACATGGTACGAGATATACAATAAAGCAACATCTTGAAACTATCGCTAAAGATATATCGTTATTCATCTATGACAATGGAAACTAGGTTTGCATTTGAATCAAATAAAGAATCTGATAATTACTCAAACTACATTAAATGCAACAACAGAATGTTAATTCATACCAAAATAAAGTAAGATAAGTCTCTATTTTACTAAGAAAAATAAATAATGAAATAAAATGCATTTATTACCACCTTGTGATAACCTATCCTTCTATTCATCAACATGCATAACTATGCAGAAAGAAAACTACGCTGTAATTTAACTACATTGGAATATATATATAGATTTTTTTTGTACGACTCAAAAACAGAAACAAAAAGGAACCAAATATTTAAACTTGCAAAGGGGCTCACTGATTCCCAGCACACCCATTTGATAAAACCATTAAAAGTAATTGAAAAACAAACAGGTTTATCCAGTTATTTCAGCACAGTCAGCTTGGACACACCTGTTAAGCGAGAGGACACACCTGCTGTAGTCATGTGAGCCCTGACACGTCAACATATCTTTCCTAGGCTCAACACTTCAGAAGAAAAAGTCCTGAAAGAAAGGCAAATTTAAACTGACGAGAGAAACCTCTCGAAGCAAAAGGGTAAGACCATTACTCTTTCCTCTCCTCTTAATGGCTCTTTCTTTCACTTCCTTTCCAGCTCACTTTCATAGCTGAGGAGGGTTATGGAATTTCATTACTTATGATTGAAACCCAGTGAAGTTTTTAAAGCAGGAAGGTGCATTGAAAATGCCAGGATCCCCTCCGGATGCCAGCAATCTAATTTACTGTCAGTGTTAATAAATGAGGAGCCCACTGGATGGTACCGAATAAGTTGTTATTTCACCATCAGGGTTATCACTTAATACCTGATAATATCTGTGGGGAGCGATAGTATCTGACAGGTGAAACAGAAGGCTTCAACCTCTGGCAGCCGGAATGATCGTCAGTGTAGAAGGATTGTTAATATGTCAAATCGATGTGACTTCACTCAATAGAGAGTTCATAAAAGAAATTGAGATGAGATTGTACAGCTAAGGACTCACTGCGGTGGGAGAATATTCTCGTTTAACGGTCAATGTTTACTTGTACGTTTGTGAAGGAAGAGTTACGTAAACATTTTTCAACAGGTGTCAAAAACAAGTTCAAGTTATGTAACCAGCTTTCAAGCTTCCTTGAAAATGACCTGATTAGATATAAAAATACATAAGTTAAGAAAAGTTCTTTTGTATAGTACAGCTCAATACCCAAACAATGTACACTGGAAAAAATCTAAATCTACATAAGTAATTTTTTCTTAAAATTTGTGAATTTTTCTTGGATTGAGGAGGCAAAAGAGGCATTTTGCCAATGGAACAAGACAATTTACACTTAAAATAAGAAAACATAATTGCATTGTCTTATTTCAAGTGCATATTATCTAATTATCTTATTTTAAGAGGAAAAATACTCATTCCATTGGCAAACTACCTCATTTACCTGCTTAAATTAAGGGTAAATACAGTTAATTTATGACATTTTTACTTATTTCGAGTTTTTTTCCCAGTGCTTCACTGCAAAAACAATCCAGAAATAAGTAAAAAATGGCTTAAATTAAGTATATTTAGCCCTAATTTGAGCAGGTAAATAAGATGATCTGCCAATGGAATGAGTATTTTCACTCTTAAAATAAGATAGTTAGATAATATTTACTTGAAATAAGACGATAAAATAGTTTTTTCTTATTTTAAAAGGAAATTGTCTTGTTCCATTGGCAAAGTGTCTTACTTACCTCCTCAAATCAAGGAAAAACGCACTTATTTTAAGAAAAAATAACTTATTGAGATTTCTATTTTTTGCAGTGTTTACATTAATTAAATTCAAGTAAACAGCAAAAAGGACTTGAGAATTCCATAACAATGGCAGGTAAAGAAAAGTTGGAACACAATTAAAGGTGTTCCAGTCTTATGTTTATTTATTTTTTATTCCGATTAGAAGATTATTATGTTTGAGTTCTGCTCCTCCTGTTGAGTTTGATGTATTTTGTTCTTTAACCTATTACACTAGAAAAACGATCTACAAATAAGTAAAAATGTCTTAAATTAAATGTATTTGAGTAGGTAAATGAGATAGTTTGCCAATGTAAAGAGTATTTTTACTTTTAGAATAAGATAATTAGATAAAATGCACTTAAAATAAAACAATGCAATTGTGTTTTCTTATTTTAAATGTAAATTCTCTTGTTCCATTGGCAAAATGACTTTTACCTCCTCAATCCAAGAACAAATACACTTATTTTAAGAAAAAATTACTTATTTAGACTTTGATTTTTTTCCAGTGTACAGTAGTAGCCATTCAAAATTTCCCCACTTTCCTTGATGGGCCTTTGGCTGGTCTTCTAAGAATCCATTTTTAAACATCAATCTTTGTACTAAAATATTATTTTTGTTATGTGTTAATTTTACTCAATGATGATTATAAAATTAATGTGTGCTTATGAAACATTTTTGCGAGGGGATGCTCCACTCCTGTCTCATGATTCAGTCAGGAGACCATCCTGCCTTGTCATTCTGATGGAGCATTCTATCTTCATGAACTGATCAATTGTTCTGTCAGAACAATACTCTGTTTGTAACCATGCGTCATGTTCTGTTAATAAACGCTCTGCGGAGGAGGTCCAGTGGGAGACAGCACGTTTGAGTCTGGGGTTCAACTGTCTCTCCTTTCTGCAGGAATTGTATCCATAATTGTGTATTTCAGTTCTTCTTTTGCAAAAACCTACATTTTTATGAACCCGACATTATGATTAGAGGACATTAAAATCTAAAGAGAAGCATCATCTCCTGGTCAGACCCTGCAATTCAGTGAAAGTGTGGAGTCAGAGTAAAAAATATGCACGCCCAGTAGAAGGAGGGGGTCATTTCACTGGCTGGAAATTGGCTGTTTGACTGGGAAGGACCATTTCGAATGGCTTCTACATCCACAGAACGCATAGGACGCTTTAAAATTCACAGCCTCATACTGCGAAAATACGGCTACTATCCACCATTACAACAGCAGCCTAGACACTCCCATGGGTTAAAAAACAGCGGCTGTGCTAATTTATGCTTTTTTCTTTAGGCATTTTTTATTTTATTTTTTTGTTGGCCTATTAATTCTCTTATTTTTATCTAGTGAAGCACACATGTAACCTTATAGAATGTTTTGTAACAGAAATACCTTCATGTTTCAATTTGGTTCAGTTTATTTATTTAGCTACAATTTGCCCCACATCATCTCAAGGCACTTTACAGAGACAGTCGGATCAGATGCTACAGACAGATTGGAGAAAGGTTTTCTATCTAAGAAAACCCAGATGAGTTTATTGATTCACTGACTTTCCAAACTTCACTCCTGATGTGGCTGATTGTAGCCATGATTTTACAGTAATATCAGCAAACTTCTTAATGTCTTTGTGACAGATACAACGACACCCCTTCAGGGAGCTAGATCAGCTTGTTTTCACAGCAGAATGGGGGCTAACTCAATAATAAGCAAAGCTGAGTTTAAAAACTCCACAGAACAAATGAACAATAAAATGATAATTATTTGATGGGCACTGTTCAAAAACAGGCTGATAAAATAGTTTGTCCTTTATTAACAATTTTGGTAACAACATTCACAGCTTCTATTTCCTATCTCTGCGCATTTCTTTTTGACACTTAAACCTCCTATATGGGCTATGAAAATAAAGGATAGATAATCTTAATCTTATTTCAGATGTGGTTCACAACAAAAAATGCCTTCTAAATAATAAGAAAGAAATATAGTGTTTTAAGTGAATTATTGCTTATTTTTAGCAAAATAATCTGCCAGTACATCAAGCAAATGAGACTTGGTAAGATTTCTTAAAACAAGAACATAATATCCAAGTAGTAAGCGTCCAAAAAAACTTAAATCAAGTAGAAAAATCTATTTTTTCTTTTACTCATTAAGATTTAAGCAATGTATTCTCATTTATTAGTCATTATTGCTTAGAAATAAATGTCCTCTAACCAATTATTGCTCAAAACAAGCATACAACAGGCTTAAAAACAAAGCAAATGTACTTGATACCAGTTTATTTAAAGGCTTAAAACTAGTCTGTTTTTCTTAGCTAGAATTAATTTAATTATTTAGGTGCACACTGCAAAAAAGGAAAATCTATACAAGTTTAATAAATTTGAATTCAGCATTTTGGTCTTATTACACGAGTTTTTCAATATATTTTCTTAGTAAGACTGAATATTGTTACGATTATTTGACTTGTTTTAAGGAAATTCTTTTTTTTCATCCTAACTAGATAATACAACTAATTCTGAGCAGCTTTTTTCTTCTTAAAATAGCTCACATTGCGGACTGAGTCGTGTTAACATTTAGACTGTGAGTACATTTTTACTTTTTTCAAGACAATAAAACAATCCATATTACCCTGTTTTAAGAACTGACCCCATCTCATTAAGATATTCCAGCTAATTAAATCTGATTGCATTAATTCTAGCTAAGAAAAACAGACTAGTTTAAAGCCTTTAAATGAACTGGTATCAAGTACATTTGCCTTGTTTTTAAGCCTGTTGTATGCTTGTTTTGAGCAATAATTGGTTAGAGGACATTTAATTCTAAGCAATAATGACTAATAAATGAAAGAGAAAAATTCTTAACGAGTAAAAGAAAAAATAGATTTTTATACTTGATTTAAGTTTTTTTTTATTCTTACTACTCGGATATTATGTTCTTGTTTTAAAAATTCTTACCAAGTCTCATGTGCTTGCTGCACTGGCAGATTATTTTGCTAAAAATAAGCAATAATTCACTTAAAACACTATATTTTTTTCTTATTTTTTAGAAGGCATTTTTTGTTGTGTAGTGAAAGTATGGGAAAAACTTCAAAACGTTTTATTTATTCATATTTTAGCAGAAATGTCACAGAATTAAGCGAACTACACGGTCAGTCCGCAATGTGTGCTATTTTAAGAAGAGAAAAGCTGCTCAGAATTAGTTGTATTATCTAGTTAGGATTAAAAAAATGAATTTCCTCAAAACAAGTCAAATAATCTTAACAATATTCAGTCTTACTAAGAAAATACATTGAAAAACAAGTGTAATAAGACCAAAATGCTGAATTCAAGTTTATTAAAGTTGTATAGATTTTCCTTTTTTGCAGTGTTGTTTTGGAAAAAAGATTGTATATAATTGAATCCAACTCAAATATGGCACCCAGCCTGAAGTTCCTATTGAAATTATACATTTTCCCTTAACCTAGCAGTTATTTGGAGATTAGATTATACTTTTTTCTTATGCCTGAGATTCCTGCAGTAGAAGGTAAGAACTTTTGCAAAACAAACACCAGCAGCAGTAAGAAAACCAGTTCGACAAGAAAAGTAAAAACAAAACTCCAGAGTAGGAGGGAGTGGCGATATCAGATTTAGTGTAGGTGTTGCTTCACTCTTAACCTGCTTTATAGAGCTTTAGTGTGCTCAAATCAGAACATGAGCTTGATATCAATTTTATAAACTTACCCTGTATCCCTTTGTTTTTGTTTGCAACGAAAAGATATTTTGCCAACTTAAACAAGCATCATGGGACGAGGTGAGAGTGAGGACTGGGATTATGAGCCTAAGGAGACAAGGACAACTCAGCCGAAGAAACACGAGGACAAAGATGACAAAAGCTCAGAGGGTGGAGGCTGTCCAAAGTGCTGCTTGAGGACCAGGGACTGTCTTATGAGCGCAGAATGTGGCAGGGCGTTGCAAATCTCCAGTGTTGTGGCTTTCTGTGGAATGTGCATCAGAGCATGGACATGTAAGTCTGAACTTTAGAAAATCTGAGCAGTATTTTCCTGTTATGTGTCACTGAAGACTTTAAGAAAAGAATTCTAAAAGTTTTGTGCTCTGATTAAAATTTAAATGAAAATCTTTCTTGGCAGAGTTTTAAACAAATAAAAAGTTTCGTAACGCTCAAATTTGATCAGTGGCTTTTTTGTAGATAACTTTTTTTTTTTTTTTTCCACAGACACAATTTTTAAGGAAGCATGTTCTCAAATATGGAATGAAAACTATACTTTATTAATCTTCATTTGTTTTTGTTTTTTGTCTTTTTTTTGTTACAGGATAAATTCTACGGGATCAAGACCTTCAGAACTTCCATTTAAATTATGAAGGATCATTCAGTCTTCTGTTTAAGACACTTTTTCAGATAATAAATAATTTAGTTTAACTTTATTTTGCTCCTAACTTTAGCAGGTATTTAAAAAAGAAATTTTTGCAGTATTTTTATTAAAAGTGCTTCTTAATTTGATGCTGAGCTAAATTTGCATCCTTTTATCAAACCATGGAGACAAGCTAGATATTTGTTGAGGTTTTAACTACCTTGTATTATAGTCTCTTAACTTTGTTTATGTTTGTAACGTGGTTCATTGGAAAAAATTTAAATCTAGATAAGTCATTTTTTCCTTAAAATATGTGCATTTGTTCTTGGATTAGGGAGACAAAAGAGACATTTTGCCAATGGAACAAGACAATTTACGTTTGAAATAAGAAAACACAATTGCATTGACTTATTTCAAGTGCATATGATCTAATTATCTTATTTTAAGAGTAAAAATACTCATTCCATTGGCAAACTATCTCATTTACCTACTCAAATTAAGGGTAAATGCACTTAATTTAAGACATTTTTACTCATTTCTAGATAATTTTTCCAGTGTTGTGTCTGTCTATCTATAAAACCTAATGACAAGACTTTATTTACAACTTTGAATAAACTTGTATTTTTATTTATTGCAATTAACCAGAAGATAGAAAAAGCTTATTTTAACATCTAATAAACAAAGAATAAATGTTCATATGTTTAAAGAGAATTATCTAAGTTATTTTTCTAAAGACTTGGGTCAAATGTCAGAGATAAAATACTACAAAATAAAGTAAAATTATTGTTCTTGAAAAGCCAAGGTTGTCATGGTTTTGGTTATATTGTGCTTTACTTTGCTCTATGTCTCCTAGTTTTATTGCTTTAATTCCTTTTTGTTGTAATTTCTAGATTTATGTTAGTTCTCATGTGTTTCTGTTGTCCTCTGATGCCCTCTTGTGTGTGTGTTTTCCTTTCCCCTTGGCTCCCTCGTTGTCTCCTCTCACACCTGCTCCTTGTCAGCTCGTTAGCCCTCCCTTTGTCTCTGTCAGCTATATATACTCTCCCTCTGCCCTCCCTCTTTGTTGGTTCCTTGTTGTTGCTCCTCCGGTCGTCGCCGTTTTCCTCTCACCTCGTCTATCGCTGGCTCCTTGGTCTGAGTTACATTTTAGTTGGATTTTTGGATTTTGCCTCTGTTATTAGTGTTTTTTCATTGAAACTACAAGAATTCACCTCAGCCTCTCTGCCTCTGCATTTTGGCTCCTCTTAACTACAACCAAGACACGAAAAAGGTGGACCCTGAACAGGTTGCCAGTCTATTTCAGGGCAACTCTGAGACGTAAAACCATGCATATAGCCTCATACTTGAGGCAATATAGAGACACCAGTTAAAGGCATAGAGGACGAATGGGTGGATCATCTAAATAAGTGGTCCTTCGAGTCGTCAATCATTCTGGTGATATGTTTATGTAAGGCCGTCCTACGTGTTTGTCCCCCGTGAGCTACTTTTACGCATGCACATTTTCAGGCATATATCTGTGGGGAGCTATGGTTTCAGAGAGTCATTAAAGCTCATCTTCCTCACCGCGTTTCTTTGAAAATGGCTGAGGCTCATAAGAGAAAAATACTCTACGAAGTGTATGAGAAGAAAAGAAAAGCTTCAGAAGGGGCAGATATACATCGGCATGCTTTACTTTGAGAGCTCTCCTCGCAAAGCATTATGGAATTTGCTGTCATCATCACTGCTGGACAAGATATGGTCTATTTTGGGTAATTTCGAGGAATAAAGGAACCATATAAAATAGGGATGCACGATATTGGGATTTTGGCCGATATCCGATATGCCGATATTTTAAAACTCATGTAGCCGATAACCGATATCGATACCGATGTTAAAGCTGGACAAAAATAAGTAGTCATTGAAAATAGCAGTTTTGTTATCCATTTCTGACACTTTGAAAAATAATATACTCAAATATATTTTCATATGCTGATATCAAATTGATTTTTAAAAACGCGATATCGATCTATTTTACTTTCAAAATCTCGTGAAATTTCATCGTTCTGTTACAAACTCTCGTGATATTTTGCAAATTCTTGTGAGATTTTGTTAGTAAAATAGATCAATACCGCGTCAATATATCAACATAAACTAATTTTCGGGGGATTTCGTAGCATAACGATGACATATAGCAATATTTCATTAGTAAAAGAGATTGATATGGTGTTTTTAAATGGCAATATATCAGCATATGAAGATTGGGATATTTTAATATATCAATATTTTTTAAGTCTGTAAAATATAAGTTTTTGAGGAAGAAGAAGTAGTATTTTTTTATTTTTTTTAGACTTTAGAGACTCAGAAGCTGATCAAATATCGGGTTAAATATCGGTGGGGTGGCCGATACTGGTACCGATACCGATAGGGGCCGATTATATCGTGCATCGCTAATATAAAATATTTTAGTATGATATTTAAATTACACGCCCTGCTAAAGATACCTTAGGTTTATTCGAATTAAATTATGAAATTTATTTTTATAATTTAGAAGGAAATTCAGTCACACAGGTATTTAGATCTTACAAATGTTCCTATTGTTTCCATTATTCCAGGTTGCCTAAAGTGTGGCCCAGTGGCCATTTGCAGCCCTAGGAAAAATTTTATGAAACAATCTTGTTGCCCTTTCATCGAAAGCATAAACTAAAGCTAAAATAGTGACCCATACTGTATAACTCTGCGAAATAAACTTTTGAAAACATGAGGATTAAAAAAGTAAATCCCAACGACAACAACATCCATGTTTCAAGAAGAATAACATAGAAATTTAACAGTAAAGAGAATTGAGAAAAATATGAGAGTTGGAAATGATGACCTATTATGTTGTATGTTATATCAACTCATATACATTTGTGTGCTTGCATCAAATCAATGAAATTTGTGATAGTATTCAACTATTGAGGCCCAAGAAATCTCTAACTTTAGGGACCGTTGCAGTGGAATCTTTCCTTGCTTTCCAGTAGGAAAACAACACTTTTTAACAACTCTGAATTCCTAAAATGATGTATGGCTCAACAACACCTTATTAATTTTCATTTTGTCTTATTAATGCATTTCTTTGATTCACTCGCATTTTCATGGCTGCCTTTTTGTGTCCCACCATGTCACCAAAGGCATCACAATACAGGGGTGACATTTAAGGCGGACAGATTAAGGCCTCTCTCCAATTAATTTCGCTGTCCTCTCCCTGTTAAATACACAATCAAGCAAAGGCAAAATGTCACTGAAACAAACGAGGAGCCGCCGTGTGGCTGACAATTACCACCAACCACCTCAGAAATGCCAATATGTTAAACTGGGAGCAGTGAGTGAGATGAATCTTGCACACTGATCGGTAATCCAGATGCCCTGTGTTGCAGCTTTGCTTAAATAAGAATATGTGTGGTTACTTGGCAATTTTCTCCTGGTAATGACGCCTGCAATTCATCATAAAGGTCAAACTTTCTTCAAAGTGTAAAGGTGTTGAACATAAAATCTCTGATATTATCAGCTGTATTGTCATTAGTGATATAACAAAACGTAGAGTTTCCACAGCATAATAAGCTGGTTTTGATTATATAAGACTAAATCATTATATTGAATTAATAATAAGACCTCAACATATTCTGTTTTTTTCTCATAAGGTTATGTAAAGTCTAAGCAATAGAAATATGCTAAGAGTTTCAAATTTAAGACCAATTTAAATTAGCAAAAGGGTTTATTAGACTATTACACCTATCTGGACTTGAAGGACTTTTAAAGGGCAGATTATACTTCTGCAAACGCACACATCAAATGTCGCTTGGTTTTGGCCACGAACCAGTGTTGCTGGTGTGCTTCTGCACCGTCGGTCAGGAATTTCTAGGGATGCACAGCCGTTTCCCGCCAAAGCGCAAGGAGGAGCCTATTTGAGAACTCCCACTGTAGGCAGTGTTGCCAACTCAGCGACTTTGTTGCTATATTTGGCGACTTTTCAGACCCCTCCAGCGACTATTTAAAAAAAAAAAGCGAATAGCGACAAATCTGGTGACTTTTTACGGTGTCACTGGCGGCTTTTGGAGACTCTTACGTGAAAGCATGTATCGTTCCTACTGTGCCGTGGGGCGCCTCCCCCACCCCAACCCCGTTCCCTCTCAGCGCTGCAGTCAGAGCCGCAGGATGTTTACCCTCAGCGTCCAGACTGCAAATGAAGCGCGCAAAATTGATCACGTGGACAGAAAAAAGTAGCTCTATATATTGTGTAGTAAAGTGAGTAAAAACACTATTATATGGTGTTTTTACTCACTTTTTGTCTTTCTGTAACAACATTATTTCTCCCACAGCATCAATAACATGCACATCACTTCCTGTGGCAGATTATGCCAATTAGGTGATGACGTCATTTAGCGACTTCTAGCGACTTTTAGCACCGCCAATGGCTACTTTCCTTACTGAGGAGTTGGCAACACTGACTGTAAGACTAAACCCTGCGATTAGACGCACAGTGTGAGCAGTAGCTGCGTGCAACGACTGAAAAAAAATGTGCAGTGTATGCCCGGCTTACCCTGCACAGGAAAAAAATTGAAATCTAGATAAGTAATTTTTTCTTAAAATAAGTGCATTTTTTCTTGGATTGAGGAGGTAAAAGAGACGTCTTGCCAATTGAACAAGATAATTTACATTTAAAATAAGAAAACACAATTGCATTGTCTTATTTTAAGTGCATTTTATCTAATTATCTTATTTTAAGAGTAAAATTACTCATTCCATTGGCAAACTATCTCATTTACCTGCTCAAATTAAGGGTAAATACACTTAATCTAAGACATTTTTTATTTATTTCAAGATTGTTTTTCCAGTGTGGAAAACTGTAAAAGTAATTTTTTTTTCTTTTTAAATAAGTGAATTTTTTCTTGAATTAAGCAGATAAGAGAGTTACTTTGCCAATGGAATAAGACAATTTACATTTAAAATAAGAAAAGAACCAACTGCAGTCTCTTATTTGAAGCGCATAATAAATAATTATCTTATTTTAATGGTAAAAATGCTCATTCCATTTGCAGATAATCTTATTTTCCTACTCAAATTAGGGGTAAATACACTTATTTTAAGAAACTTTTGCTCATTTTCAGAAAGTTTTTGCAGTAAAGCTGCTGCTGCCGTAGTGCATGCTGGGATATGGAGCCATGTTTGTGCCTTTTGTTTGAGCGTGCAGGAACCAATCCCAGCATACAGTAAGAGAAGGTGCACAAAACTTGGCACACGCTCAACTCTGAAAAACTCTTCTCAAAACACTG